ACTAGTCAGTACATTCTCCAGTACCACATGAACACAGAGCTAAGCTGGCAAACAGTGCAAGTAAAAGGTGAATAGATCAGTAATCAACTACATATATATATATATATATATATATATATATATATATATATATATATATATATATATATGTATGTGTGTGTGTGTGTGTGTGTGTGTGTGTGTGTGTGTGTGTATGTGTGTATATATATACATAAAATGAAAACAGTGCATGTATTTTTTCACGATGCCATGCATGGTGTTAAGTACATTTTCAAGGAGATTGGAGTGCACCAGCTACACAGTTCCAGGACATTTAAAAAGGACTATGAGGATACTAGTGTAGGTCCTTTTATCGGGATATATAGAGAATTCCTGGTGATGCAACAGCCGTCTGTGAGGCCACCAAGAGAGCATAATTAGCCTGACTCTCTCTAGGTGAGTAGGATAGCCATATGTTTCCCCATCACTCAAATACTAGGTAATCTGTTCGCTAATGTAACAGAATTGTCAGATAATGTTCTCCTCCAAGGGTGTTGAGTTGTCCAATGACGTGGTGTTAGCGACAGTTTGAAAAGATTTGGTGGCTGGCTTCAGTTGATTCAGAGGAAGCACAGGCTACCCTTCACCCTCCCAGATTAGTGGCATTTTGTGATACAAAAAGACCTAGCTAGTGGGGGCATGACATCATTAGGCAGCATTAGCTGACTTGCTAATGCTGGTTAGGCACCAGTTGTCTTCTGTTAGCTAATAATTGTAGCCAGCTTAGCTGGCTTTCTAGCTAGTTCTACTAATTCTGCCATGCTGTTGGTATGGAGAAGGGAGGTTATGAGCGTTGCTCAAAACAAGTTAATAACTCTTATTGGGCAAGAAAAAACAGGAAGATAAAAATTAATTTTCTGGCAACAAAGCTGGAAGAAAACTAGTGGATCGAAAGTGTGAAAAATCTGCTGTCTTTTTTTTTTTCTCCCCCAAAGCACACACCTTTCTGTTTGGCCATCATCTTTAAATCCCAGACAGGGGGAATCTTCTCTACAGTGTGTGCCATTGTCTAATGCACCTGGGTGGATTTCTCTTTGATTTCATAATCCACGTCTCATGCTGCAGATTAGTCTTCCTGTGTAAAAGACACCGCTGGCTTTTGACTTTAATTCATGGCTAAATATAGGCCTAGCACTCCTGTTCCACCAGCAAACACCCAGGAGTATTTGTAGTGGATTTGTTCGCCCCTTCCTTTCTCGTCCGCGTCTTTTTTCTGTCTGAGTGCGTGCCGTGCCCTGCTGCAGCCTGTAGGCGTCTGCTTTTGGGGTATCAAGCTAACCACAGCGTGGGGAGCTTTTTCAAAAAAACTTAGGCTTTATGGGTACAGGGAGTAAAAATAGATTGTGGTCGGCCATGAAAGGCTTAGGGCTAAAAGCTCCTTTTATGGCTTAATTACACATAACATTTATACTTGTTCGACGTGCTCGGGTTTGATTGTAATTGTGACCGTTTTCTGCGTGATTGAATTTTTTGCCGCGTCTGTGCCCTTGGTCTTCAGAGGCTCCATGGGTTAGTGGCAATATAACACTGGAGCCCAGCCCACACTGAGCTGGAAAAAGGTTGTAGTATGCAAATCAGGCCATGATATCCTCCCCCTCCATCCGTTGCAGCCTGGATCTATTATGCTTCTCCTTTTGATGTAAGATGAATAATAGGATTGGGAGGCATTCATTCTGCCTGAATGATAATTCTCTGTAAGAGACTATGACGTGACTATTATTTTATTTATTTATTTTTTTCTTTTTCCTTGTTCTCGCCATCTCTCTCTCTCTCTCCACATTTTCCTCACTGTGCCGTCTGCCTTGCTGAGCAAAAAAGGCCACGGCCTTAGCTGCCTTTCTGCTGCTAACAAATGTAACGGGAAACAGCTGGATGCTAGCATGTTAGCCATGGTTCAGCGCAAACCCCCTGATCCACTGTTTTGACACACTGTGCCCGCTCCCCCTCCAAAAAAAAACAAAGTAGCATTGTGTTGTACACAGTGCCCAGTTTGTCTCTGAGCCATGCTAAGTGGTTTTAGCACCAGACTGGGGCTGCCAAGACATGTAGCCTTGTGACGTGAGCACAGCTAGCATTGTTGCAATTCCATTCATCCTTTCCTACCACAGGAAGCTCAATGTAGGGCTATTCTCTCAGGATCTCATTATGTTCATTTACATATCATTTCTCCAATGCCTTATTTACTCCCCCTCTCCAACCAGTGCATATTTGCAGTAAAGCATTTCAAATGATAATTGGGATTGCTATTTGAAGTGGAGAGGAGTGTTTTTTGCTGCAGAACCCCCTGTATATACTGTATTCTTCCTTTGGATGGAAAGGTCACAGTCTCAGTTGCACCAAGGACCTTTTGTGAGCTGTCCCAAACCAATTTACACTGGCCAAGCTGATGGTTCTGACACAGCCAGCGCCATGACCTTTGTTGAAGGAGAGCTTTACCCCCTCTTTGCCGTCTCAGACAACCACAGTATCTACCTGACCCTCAGGCACAGGCCCTCAATACCTACCTCAGAAGCTCCACACACAGAGTTACATGGACTGACTGACTGTGCATCATCTCTCCCGCATGTCGCTGTTTATTGATATGACAGGAAACAAACTTATTCAATATTAGGCATATTTCCTGTGCAGGAACATTTTCAGGAGCTCTGAAAATACTTCTGTGTGCGTTTCCACCTGAAAAACCAAGGCAGATTTTAGTTCCTGGGACATAGTTTGAAGAAACTTTTTAGTTCCTACTCCACATGAAATGCTTTTCTGTGGATCAAGTGGTCCTTGCTGTATTAAACATCTGTGATTAGTCAATGGCAAGCTTCACAGTACGCTCTTATTGGTAATTGTTAAAAAAAAACCCCAAAAAAATCAACCACAGATTAACACGAAAAGTACAACAAAGACCTGCAAGTGTTGCTCAACATCTTAAATGTCGATATCGTCCGTAAAGTATGTGTAACATAATTTTGTCACATTCATCGGGAATTCAACATACTTAGGAAGAAATTAAAAAAACTAAAAACTGAAACGTCAGTTAAAGCATGATTTTCACAAAGCAACGCAATACAATAAAGAAACCAACTTCTCAGCCTTCATGTTTGCTGTGTTGCTGCTGAATGATGTAACCTCTGCACAGTATGTGTTACTTTTATTTCACACGTCACTGTTCCTGTGGTGCAGTGAGAACGCAAAACAGGAAGTTGTTTAAAAATTGTGTAGTTGTCCTGCAGGGAAGTTCTGAAACATTTAACTAAACGGTTCCTGAACCTTGGTGGAAATGTACTGCTTTGTTACGCCAATACCCATATAATGGTATAGATTATATATTGGCCAGAATTAGGTAAGGCAAGCCAAATTTATTTATATAGCACGTCTCTTACACAAAGGCAGTTCAGTGTGCCTTACAAAAATAAAAGCAAGTCAGAAGGAAAAAATAAAGACCAGGTGAAAAAACAGTGCTAGAGCTTAACCTCCAGGAGGGTTGATTAAAGTGTTATATTGTTATACTCCAGTTATTTCTAGCACCCTGAATGGAGTCATGCATTTCACTGGATACATGGCAGCCCTAACGCTAGCCAGAATTCTGATTTTTGAGACTAATCAATATCAAACCCAGCATGGGCCAGTGCAGTACAGCATTGATATCATGTGATAACTGATAATTGATGCTGACCTCATTTGCAATTTAGTCTAGATTGATATGCTTTTATATGCTTTCCCATTTCTTAAATGCGAAAGCATAGTTAGCAAGACCATACTAAGTGCACCCTTTCACCAGTAACCCATCAAAGAAGTAGCAGGCTTGAGGATGTAATGAGTGTTTGTTTGTTTGTGCTCTTTAAACTCGCATAGAGATGGCACAGTATCACCATTTATTTTCCAATACCAGTATCGCAACATTTTCTGCTTATATGAGCCCAGCTGATTGGTGCCATTTCTAAAATTTGATGATATGTGGCAACAAATGGAGGATAGTAGCCGCCCATTTGCTTTATGCCATGTGCATGATGGTAACTGGTGACGATTCACTTAAACTTGTTTTAAGCAACATTTTGACTGAACTGTTCCTTTAAGCAAGACCAGAAAGCCCAAGTGCAGACTTTGGGTCATCTCAGTGTTCTGCACACAGGCAGCCCTCATACACCCCTGCCCACACACACACCAACATGTGTGATGTAACAGCCGGCAGTGTTGTGACAAGCGGAGAGGATTCCTCTCTGCTGACCTCAGAAACCACCAGACAGTTTCTGTTTGTTTGCCTCTTTTTCCCACTCCACCCTTGTTATCTGTGCTACATGCCTGGATTGTGTTGATTCTTAGCATCATCTGTGGAATCTCCCTTAAGAAATACAATGACCTTTTTTTTAAATTAGCAATTATTATTATTATTATTATTATTATTATTATATTATATGTTTGTGTGGATTATGTGATTTGGTCATTTGTAAATTATTGTTATTAATATTTCTTGATTTTTACTTTTATTTACTATTATCGCTAAAAGCAGTAATAATAATAAGATTTTTTATTGGCAATCAATAAGGGTGGTGATATTTATTTTCAGTAAAGTAAAGCTGTGTGGGTAAGTCCTCAATAAACAATATGGTAAATAATAATAATAATAATAATAATAATAGCTGCCAAATAAAAATAAGATACTAGGAACAGGAATAATGACATGAGGTATAAGTGATTATTAAATTAAGTTAAAATTATTTTAGTTGGCCCACGACCCAGAAGGATAAGCGGTTTAGAAAGTGTGTGTGTGTGTGTGTGTGTGTGTATGTGTTTGTGTGTGTAGTTTTTTAATTAAAATTAAAACTTGTGCCCTTTGTTCTATGGCCAGATTGTGTTTTATAGTTTTATTATTATTAATCGTATAAATAGTAGCAGTATTAGTGATAGTAGTAAAAATAGTTTTAGCATTATTATTAGTAGTAATATTATTATTTCTCCTGTTATCTTTTCAGGTGGCGTTGTACAACACAGACCAGGATGGTAGTGACAGCCCAAGAAGCAGCCTTAACAACAGCCTGTCTGACCAGAGCCTGGCCTCAGTCAATCTGAACAGTGTGGGAAGCGTGCACAGCTACACACCGGTAAAGTCCAGCAGCAACTCTTACATTATACAGTTCAGATATTCAAGATTTACAAAAATAATCATTTTTGTAAATCTGCCACCTTGGATAATTTTCAAGACTTATTCCTATGAAGATGCAGAAAAGACAGTAGCCCTGGCCAAGACATAAAAATGACACAAAACAGGAATGATGCATACAATAATTCAAGGCACAGTGTGTGCTTTAGAAATAAGTTATAGATTATGGTCACATTCTTAAATGTGTTTTAACCACGATTTTGAAAAAAGGCATAACGTGACTAATTCTAGTGGATCCTGTTGACATGTATGAAACAAGACTGTAAAGCGTAGTTTTGGATGGTTTACAACAAAGCCATTCCATTTCTTTACTTTAATACACCCATACCGAGTACCAAAAGTGTTAAGAAGCAAGCATACAGATGTGCAAACTTGTGCCATATTGTGCACTGAAAATAAAACATAAGAAAAGTGCGTGTGTGTGCATGTGTGTACATGTGTATGCGCGTGCGTGTGTGTGTGTGCGCGTGTGCGTAGTAGTGGGGCAATATGGCCATATATGTGTGTCACACATATTTTATGTAATTGTTAAAGTTAAACCATTTTTAGATACTTAATTAAACCTAAATTTTTGTAGATTAACAGTGGCTTAGTATTTTGAGATGTCCCTTCACTTTTAACAGGAACCATATTTAACAACAGAAACAGATTTAAAATATCGTGCAAATTAGCTTAAACAAAACTGAACATGCAATATACAGTGTTAGATATTGTGTCTTATACATGCTTTTCATACACTCATACATTCCAACCCTGCTGGAATTTATTAAATATTGCAAGTAATTTACACTATTGGAAGCAGCTGTTAAGCTGTTGTATATTGACTGTATTTGAGGACCAGGCCCCAAGACCTCACTGTCGTCTGATGCAGCTGATCTAGACAGCATTGCAGACTGTGTGTGTCATGTAGTGTATGTTAAAGCATAAAAACACTAAAATGTACATGACGAGGGTTGTCTAGGTCTGGGCTTAATAAACTTTGCACTGGGCAACTCGCAGCTTTCTAGCATTAGTATTCCAGAATTTTCACCAACAGCCAAAGCAGAAGTTGCAGGACTCACAGCAGTTGGCTGAGAGTTTTTTTGCAGATTCCTTTAGTGGAGCTGTGGAGAGTGTGTGCTTTCCTCCTAGCGAACTCCCTGAACACACATAACACGCTGCAGAGAGCGCGGAGGCCCATGCATGGGGGCAGGCTGACGCTGGGGTTAAGGGAATGAAAGGCAGTGAGCATGCTGCTGGAGCTCGGCTAAAGAGAGCCGCCGCCTCTGAAGTTCTCCCACCAGAGACGCCCCCTGCTTTGTTGTGGTTCCCCCGAAGCCTCACGCGCCCCATGCTTCAGGCTCCAGCATTGATCCACTACAGACACTGATGAATTCAGTACAGCAGGCCAGACAATGCTCTCTCTTTCTATCTCCTTTTCTCTCCCAATCTCGGTCTCGCTCACTTGCTTCCATACTTACTGAAAGCCCGTTGATTCTAAAACACACATAACCCGATAATAAGCAGTGCTGCAGCAATTCATCAAAGTTGATTATTAAATCTGTCAATTATAGGATAGTGTTCATTTTCAAAAACAAAAATTTTAGTGACGCTCTAAAATATGCATATGATCCATGCAGTTATCATGTGACAAATTGCACTACAGACAGTGTAGGGGGTGATGTCGTTTCTGTAGTCTCACCCTTCAATAAAAAAGAAATCACTTTTAAAGAAGAACGTTTAACTTTGAATATTGGCAGCAGCACAGAGAGCAGAAATTAAGAAGGTATAGTAGTTTAGTCAGTTAACTGAGTAATAGTCGATAAGTGTAACGATAAAAGAATTGATTGTGGCTCTAATTGCCGTAACACATTGCCTTGTATCTCCAAAATGGTAACTTCTTAAAGTTATTTTATATTAAGGTACATTAATATAGCGATATTTGGTCCATTCATCATGAAATGTTCACACATTGTAAAGGACAGCCGGCTGTTTTAAATGATATGTAAAAAAAAAATCATAAAAATTGAGTTACCAGGTTTTGATATGGTAGGAACAAATTGTTAGTTGAAGCCCTTATCAGGACTGTTCATCTCTCTAGTGATGCAAGTGTGTTGGGTCAGAATCAGCTAATGCAGCACACTAACAAAGCCTTATGTAAATCATACTGTTTTTGCCATCATTTCAGCAGAGTGCCTCTTTACACATCCTGTTGGATATATTTACATGTAACCCATTTGACTCTGCTTGGTGGTAAGGTATGTAAATCTGAGCCTCTATATTTGCACTGGCAGCTGAGTTTGGACTGAGGAGTGGCTGGTAATGTGCCTGCTTTACCTACCACAGAGTTTTAAGATAACTCATTTTGATATTTGTATATTTATAAATAATTAATGAACAGATATTCATTCAACTGACAGGATGAAAAAAGGGATGATTTCAACATATCTTAAAAAAATAAATAAATTTCCAACTACAACAAAGTTTTCCTACAGTGGTAGCGCATGTGTATTTTTGTTTGACGAGAATTGAAATATTGAATGTTCAGCAAAAGCTTTACTGAATACTAACACAACATTATTACAGGTCATTTGTAGTTGTAACTCATAATACACAAGCATAGTAATGTTTAAAGGGATGCTGTGGCTAAATTGAAAAATGTAACTATTGCTATATCTGTTGTGAGCATGCTTGCTCGCTTTCTACAGTTGTACCGAGAGTGGTCTCTAGAGTGAGATTTTCCTATATAAAGAACATGTATTTTGAAGGTGGAAGGAAAAGGTGTGTTTTGTTTTTTTCCCATTAGCTGGTGAATGCAGAAGGAAGGTAGATATATATTGTGGATAGGAAGCCTACTATCTTATTGCAGGCCTATGACTGAAGTAATTGTGTTTAAAGATACATTACAGTAGAGAAAGAATTTGGTTGTCTAGATACTTCATCTCAGTTTTGCTTCTTCTTTCTTTGGCTGAAAGGGTGAAAAAACTCTTCTATGGTGTCAATTTTGTGCTTAATTAGAAGAGACTCGCTGTTTTCTTTACTATTTATTCATTGGCTGAGGTGGAAGAATGCTTGCTTAGTTGTATATATTAGCCTATAGATCAGTGGCTAGGCCAACAGTCAGGATTGTGTGACATTCCTAATGGTTGTTTGATGTATTTGTATAATGCATACTGGGTACTGTTGTGCGAAAGCATTGATAAACGAAAACATGACAGCAATATAAAATTGTGAATTCTGTCAAACTCGTAAAATCTGTAAGACCATAGCTCTGACACAGACATGCAAAATTACATAAAACAGGAATGATGCATACAATAATAGGTAATAGATTATGAAATAGAGCAATACATTTAAAATTAAGCCATGTTAATAAATCAATGTTATTTTTTTTAGTTGAGTCTGCCTCTTATATATTTGAGTAAAATACATAGATACATACAGAGCAAACGAGCCATCCATAATATTTTCTTGTAGTTAAACAGCAGATTGTGATAAATATATCACTTTTCCCTTGTTAGTAGAGCTAAAGGTTCATACCCTGAGTAATGTAGTGTTTAACCATGAGAAATCTGTTTTAGGATGGCTTGTTCACTATAAGCCCTGTCATTGATTTTACTCTTAAATAGGTTGCTGCTCACCTGTGTATTGCTTTGTTGACAGTTTTGCTTAAAACTGTCCTAAGCTTGTGAATACAAAACAAGCACAACTTTAGAGTTTTCCCCAGGAAATGGTCTGCTCTATTCTAATTAGTCCCAGCTTGACTATATTTAGTCTGAGTTCTGCTCTGTTTCAAAGTCTTATGGCATCGATAAGAAGAATAAAAAAAAAAATAGTCCTAAAAATAGCATTTTTCAACCTAATCTCAGATTGATGCTTCTGTGCCATTGTACCATCGCTTACTACAAACTGCGTGTACAGTACGTAGGTAAAAACAAAACCAATTGACTGAAAACACATGTAGAACATGTAGTATATAGATGAGATTAGTTTGAAAAATGCAGAACTATTCCATTAAATTTCGCTCATTTTGTCTGAGGCTGTTTGAAACGACCTGTTTCACCTATTGTAAAAGAGCTCAGACATGTTTTTACTTCTGTGATTTTTCCCAAGACCTGTAGCTGTTTGTAGCTGTTGTCCGATGCCTGAAACCTAACGCTGTGGTCTGAGGACAACTGAAAATGTACATGATACCATATAGGTGGCTTTTTGTACAGATGTGATGTTTGGCTGCAGCACTGAGCATGCTTAACCATCAAAGTTCAACAGCTGTGTTTCTAGAACAATCTCATCATAAAAAATAAATTAACAATGGATTTTAAAACGAAAGTAAATGAGTTTGTGTCATCACTGGGGGCTGTTACTGTGGTAACTATGTTTACTGCCACTGGGGACAGCCTTCATGGAATGCTATAAGGGTGTAGCAGTTTGAGTACAGTATTGAGAAATTGGGGGGGAAAAAAATGAACGTTGGAAATTTAAAACTGTATTGCCAATACATCCAACAGTCTTTTGTTTACCATCTTTCATGGAAACCACTGTCTGTGATCAAAGGCAGGCATGGGATGCATCCTATTACAGTAAAGTACACACCCACACTTGAAAGACTTGAAAAACTTTTTTTCCTCTAAAGTCACTTATATGGTTGTGTGTGGTAGTCAAGTTGTTTTTTATTGTTATTTTCTAAGTGAAAATATGTGCACATCCTCTACAAACGTGGACTTGAATCTTGATTTCAGAATCAAAAATTGTATCAAACCTGAAAATGTGTGTCATTACACCACTGCTACACTACAGATAGAAATTCAGCTGAAAAAAGCTGGAGTTTTCATTTTAAGTGGAGATGGATAGAGCAGAGCAGTAGAGGAGGGCAGTATGGCTTCCTGCAGGTTTTCTTTGTGCTGGAATACAGCGAGCAGCTCCAGCTCCGTTTGTTGAGGTTCGTGATGTTGAGTGCTGTAGTCAGGACTGTCATTTCCTATCTCAGCTCCAGTCCGCTGGCCACAGTCACTGAGTGGGCAGCGCTGGAGTTAAGAGTGTCACGGCCAGTTTTGTTCATTGTGGCTAATCTTTTGTCCTTCTCTTGTGTTCCCCCTCCTTCTCTGATGTAAAGTGTCCTTGGGTTTGAGAAAGACACTGTAACATATTACATCATATGTCATAATGTATATTAACACATTTCATCATTATTATGCCTGTTACATTTATTCAGTTAAATTCAGTTGATTTTATAAATCTTTCATTAAAATGTAACTGGTTGAATAATCGGCACTAATTAGCTGATAATTGCTTGATGTTAATGCACATTTTAAACTCTTCTGCATCTCTCTGTTACAGTAATAAACATAGCCTGATTGACGCATTGTTTATATGCAGTTTTTCCCCATCCCATTTTTGCCTGTACTTTTTAATGAAGACTCGTTTGTCTATTTCCACTAAAGAATTTTGGAATCTTGGAAAGAATATGTATAGTTCGTTTTTACTTAGTTAAGGTTTTTTTTGTTGTTTTTTTTTTATTGTTTTGCCTTTTTTAACAATGCTACTTATGTAATTAATTATGAAATTGATCAGTAGTTTACTCAATTACTAACATAATCTAATAGTATATAACTTATCTACCTACCTACCTACCTACCTATTTATTTACCTACCTACAGGTGACAAGTCATCCTGAGCCGGTCTCCCAGTCGCTGAGTCTGCAGCAGCAGCAGCCCCCCCAGCCCCAGTACAGCATCCCTGAGCGGGATAAGCAGCTCCTGTTCTCCGACTTCGAAGATCTTAGTGCCTCATTCCGCAGCCTTTACAAGTCTGTCTTTGAGCAGTCCTTCAGCCAACAGGGTAAGCAAGCAGCAGTAGTAACTTGTGTAGCATTACCAGTGAAACAACATACCAAACAAGGGTATACATTGATGTGATTTGATTACATTTCTTTACAGCAATTCAGGGGGTCATACAATTTAAAATTTCACCACAGTCCAATATAATTAAATTGTTTTTGTAAACTGAATGCGACAATAGTGGAATGTAGACATATTTTTTTACATTTGAAAGCAGTCTAAAAATTAGCACTTTTTAATGTTGTTGCTTATAATAAATTCTGACTTTACAAAATTAAAGCAGTTGAACTGATGCATGCGTCATTGTATTTTGACACCCCTAGCATCAAAGGAATAAAAGCACATTTTTGTCACGTTGCAAAATGGCCATGTTTTTGACTGTAGACATTCTGAACCCATCACTGGCCAATCTGAAAGTATGTTTATGGAACCATGATAATGGCATGATATAAAGCAAGAATGATTATCTCTTATCTCTCTTTTTCCGCAGCATCCTAAACTGCAGGTTTTTCATGTTTTTAGTCTCTTGGAGCATACATTTCCTAGATTAAAAATAAAAAAATACATATATAACAGAATTGCACTGAAATCTGCTTGATGGAAGGGAGTTTCCCCTTTCAAATGGAAGCTCATAATAAAACGCTGAAATGCTGCAGTTCAGGCATTAGTGCGGCTGCACAGTAGGACTTTCCAGCCTTTTAGAAGTTAAAACCTTTTGTTTGTAATCTGATTAACTGATGTACAAAAAGCACTTGACAAGCATGGGTTTGTGCATGGTAAAGTCGCCCCGAAACCTTGCTCACCTAACCTACTTTTCCCGCAAATCAAATGCATTCCATGTTAATGTTTTCGGAGTGGTGCCTCTCCTTTAATCTATCATCTATGTTTCATTAGTTGAAAGTTGTTACCTTTTTTTCACATGCATAAAAGTGAAATCTCTTAGTCAGACAAGCTTGGGCAATTAAAACACGCAAAATAAGCCAGCGAGAGGATTTCACACCCCGGTGCTGGAGACACTGAGCTAATTCACTGGCTTTGATAATAGGTAATGAGCTCGCATTATTATTCAGGGGGGCTGCCGGCTAATTGCTTTCTGTACTCTCCCAGCTTGGACAATGGGCTTTCTCTAGCGATAAGAGATGCCCCTCCGTCACCCAGCCGATGAGTGTTCTCTGGCGATTGCGGAGCCGGCTCTAAAAGCACTCCACTGAAATAGGTTTAGTGTGCCAGCAGTGTGATGGACAGCAGCCTCTTAAGACCAGCAGGATGCTGCCTGTGTGTGTGTGCGCTTTTGAGGCCAACCGATATGAAATTTGTTACCAATACAGTACCATGTAGTGAATAAATATACCCTAACTTTTACATGCATCTGTATGAAAGAAGTGATGCTCAAGTCCTTCAAGTAGTCCTTGTAAGGTGTTGGTGGATTAAGAACAAGAGCCTGACCTAGTTCTTGTCACTGACAGAGATGCTAAGGAACTAAAAAAATTGGATTATTTCAATTTATTCTCTTTACAATTTGGCATATATTAACATCATACCGAAAATATATTTAGTTTTCCTCTGTGGGTTTCCTCAGTCTCTAACTCTTCTCTTTTATTTTGGCTCTGCCAAACATGACAGCTTATTATTCCTTTATATATGCACACACCTACACATACCATCGTATGAAACCGTTGGTGCACCCCTGGTGAAATTACATATTTGTATTTCTATCCTTTACAGGAAACAAACCTAAATCCAACGTGTCTACAAATTTAAGTGCACGTTAGTTGCACAGTTTGTTTTCTGGGTTTAACGATTTGGGGGGGAAAAACATACTATATAAAATGTGCCATAACTTCTGCACGGGCCAGATTTTATGCTATTTTTTCCAATATGTGAAATTCAGCAAGTAAACAGTAATTGTGAGATTAATTGTGCAGAAGAGCGTTCACTGTACAGAATGTGTGAACTTATTTTCACAAATTAACAGAACATAATTGAACCATTGATGCCCAAATGTTTGTATACGACTATATATAGAGCAACTCAAGTATTTACCATTAGTGCTTTTATATATATACATAGATGTGTATATATGTGGGATTTCAGCTGATCCTAATAAATCCATGGAAGTTTAACGTCGACCAGTTTTATCGGCCAAATGGTATAAAGGCTGGTTCCTCGTGTTCTCCCTCTCACTGAGTCAGTAGCACATTTCTTGGAGCTAGCATCACAGCTGTTAAAGAGAAGCCTTGTGAGATGGAGGAGAGTCCAGGGACCTGAAAATAAGCTGAGTCACTGCCTCACTGTCTGCAGACGCAGGGAATTATTTGATTATTTTTATTTTGATTTTGTGGTGGAAGAGAGCTTTTAAACTAGATCATAAATCTAATCTTAAAGTGACAGTTTGGTGAGTCAAATTTCCATGATATTCCCCCTATAGTTCAAATTTAGTTGATCAGCCAAGACAAGCCAAGGTGTCTGAAGCGTGCTTTTTTTAGTTTTGCACAGAGGCTAGAGTAACAAGTAATGGAAACTTATGCTCAATAATTAACATCATGCTAGCTCTGCTCTTTTTAAATATATAGTGTTAGAAACAACATAAACAAGTCTGTTCGAAATTACTTTAACAACTTGACACAATTTCAGGCAGACGTGTGATGATTTAGGCATACAGTTTGCACAACGCTAATTGCATTATTTGTTAGCTACATTAGCCTCGTAGTTCCAGTGAAAAACTAAAGAAGCAAACTTCAGGGATTATGTTTATTTTTTTTTTTTAACAAAACTATCACTTTAGCCTATTTTGAAAGTGTATAGAAAGTGTGATGCTGTGGTGCTAAGTGTGTGTGTGTGTGTTTTGCAGGTTTGATGGGAATGCCGACGGAGTCGTCCCAGCAGACACACACCTCTTGCTCCTACCAGCACTCCCCCAGCAGCACCATCAGCACACACCCACACAGCAACCAGAACAGCATCACCAATTCACACCCCAACAGCATCCCCACCAGCGGCAGCCAGGTGCCCCTGTCCCACCCCCACAACTCCCCCCATGGACAGCACCTGACACAGCACGGCCCGCACTCCCAGCACCCCCACGCTCAGCACAGCCAGCACTCGCACACGCCACACACACCACATGGCCAGCATGGGCAGCACCAGCCCCATAGCCAACACACCCAACATACCCAACACACTCCACACTCCCAGCACTCCCAGCAGCCCCAACAACATCAACAGCACCAAAACCTCTCTCACCAGCCCCATCCAGCTCAGCAACAGATGCCCTGCGGCACCGGTAAGAACCAAGCTTTCTACACATACATTTAACATGGACAGTTATTAGAAATACCTGCCTAGTAGCACCACTTTGCTCCTGTGCAGTTGCCCATCTATTGATGCATTTGTGTTAGCTGTGGTCAAACTCTTCATCGTTGGTCAGTTTCTGGCCACCAGTGCTGGGTATAAAGAGTTACAGTAGTGTAATTTCTTTTTTCCTGTAATGAAGTAGTGTAACACATTACTGCTTAAATTCTTTTAATCACATTATAGTTTATAGTAGCATTACAGTTACTGATTTAAAGGGGAAAATTGTGCATAATTCAGTTGTTGAAATGTTAACAAAGTCATTCAGAGTGGTCTGATGTGAAATAGTTCATTGTAGAATTTTTTATGACTGGTGCTGATAGGAACCAGGGTCACATCTGTCCACATCTCAAATACAGCCATTTTATTTAATATCCAGACCAACCAGGTATCCTACATGTGTCTTTTGAGTTTTCATGTATAATAATAGTAAAACAGTGGTAAATTTGCAAATGCACGTTCACTTTGGGTGCTATTTTACAGTGGAATGTCTGCATGCAGTTCTCTGCCATAAATACCAAATTGGCCAAAAGACCAAATAGGCTAAAACCATTCTGATTGACTGTGCAATACAGCATGGTACACTAACAGTTCTGAACCCCAAATTGTCCATACCCTGGTCAAGTACCTATGTCCCTTTCTCACCACTTAGCAGTACTGTGAAAGTAGGCAGAGTTCTACTTTCTACTCTCGACTGACTCCTGGGAAACCGCATGACGATTCTGTGACGATTATATGGAACCAATCAGTGGTTTGCATCATTGCTTGCTCCACCTATATGTTCCAGCTCAGCATGTTTGATTTCCCAGCATGAAGAGTAACCTAATTCAGCATAGGTACTCGGTATGGAATGGTTCACTTGGCAATGGAAAATGACAAAATGAGTCATCATGGATCCATACCACACTGCCTGGAGATAAAATTCCTTAAGATAGTGCTATGAATTTTGTGCGATACATTTTAATACATTTTCTATATAGATCGTCTATGTCTGTCCTTAGTAATCTGTGTGTGCAACCTGCATCAGCTGACTGTGCAACTTTATGTAAACCACTTGAGTGGTCTGTTTAAGCATCTTATTATGTTAAAAAGGAATTTTGCAGATTTTTTTTCCCCCCGGATTTCTGCATAATTCACTGATTAAGATATAAGCAGTAATTCAGAGTGGATGTGAAATACTCTGTTCTAGAGAAACTTGCTGAGTCAGAATTCACAGTGTTGGTGATTTCAGAAACCATACATCTGAAGTTTACTGCCTCTAATAACTACCTCAGCCTAACTTATTTTATGAAATGATTACAAATACACAGCCTTATATCTGAGACATTGTTTACAATAGTTTTGAGATAAGCTTTTTTTATCCATGCATGATGGAGACGTACATGCAGGGCAAAGAGAACATGCAAAAAAAAAATCATAAATTTTCAGATTTACCACTATTTTACCATTTTCAAAATTACCTAAAACTTGGGTTGGTTCTCTTGTGATTTTGTATAGTAAATGAATTGGTTATGTTTGCACTGTAGGCATCACTACTCCTGGTTCCTATCACCACCACTGTAAAGAAATCAGGATCGATAAGTTTTGCAACAATGCACTGTTTCCACTCAGAATGACTCTGTTTACATTTCAATGACTGAATAATGTAAAAAATTTGAAAAGAGTGTATAAAGATCACCATGCTGAAAAAGAGAAAGCTCCAACCTCACCTAAACAGGGCAGGCTCGATTTTCATTCAGGAACAGCTCTGTAAGCTTTACATTTTATTCGTAAAGATTCTATTTTATGTTAGCTGTTTTTGTTTTTGCCAGCTAGTTTCTCGATTTTTCTAAGAGCATCAACCATTCATTTTTTTAATCATCAAAACTGGCTGTGTGTTCAGAGTAAAGGGAGGCCTCGTAAGTTATGTGTACTGTTTTTTTTTTTTTGTTTGTTTTTTTTTATTCTTTCTAAATAAAATACTAAAAGGAGCACTGGGCTTTCTCTTGTACTTTCCACTTAGAGAGGTTTGTTTTGGTTTTAGGGAGTAACAGTAGTAGTAGTAAAGTAATGAGTAATAAGATTATTTTTTCCAGGAAGTGATCAGTAAAGTAATCTCATTAAAATTTAAGAAACATGATTTGGAATGGTTAACTACCCCCTGACCACAGAGCCACACTTGGCTGGTTGTTTCTGGGTGGTGAAACACTCTTGACCCGGCACTGAAGTGTTTAAATACATTGCAGTGCTGAGAATGGTTCGCCACCCAAATAATATCTGGTCAGCATTGGTCCTGTGGTGTTCCCTGTCTGTTGATTGATGGGGTAGAGAGGGCCGATGAATTGTACATCAGGAGATATGCTACAGTCAGGAATGGTACGCATATGAAGTGCACCTATGTGGTGAGTGTTTCTGATAAAATGGCCAATGAGTGTAGCTGCCAGGAAGCTAGTAATGAACTGGCAACAATGATTTCCACTGTTCTGTTTAAAATAGACCAACAAACTTTTGTCCTGAGACACCCAATTTTATTCCTAACTCAGTTTGACTAGATACCATTTAGCAGGTACTTTTATACAGAGCACAAATATATTTACAAAATACAGCAAACAGCTGAAGCTGAACTGATGCAGAGTTCCTAGAGAACCTGAAAGGATTCATCAAAATACCATAGCTTATGGTAGATCTGGTTAAATAAATACAAACATCTCTGTGCCTCTCTTTTACTTCATCAAATATTCTTCTCGCTCAGTCTTTCCTGTGCTCTGCCTCGTCTTTCTCTCTCTCCATCCCTCCACGTGGGCAACTCTCTGACAAGCTGATTTATTCAGGCTTCTTTTAATAGTCATTTGCTTTAGATTAAAAGAATGTATGGCAGCTTAGGGGCTGTGGACAGTAAATCACCATCTGATTTATGTTCTTTGCTTTAATGAGAACAAAGCAAATACAGCAAATAAATTGCACACACACTGTATGCAGAGCCCTATAGCAGAGGGGTCTGGCTCCCCCTGCTGGTGAGACTGAAGAATATTTTATTTTCTTTAAAGACCCCTCTCCAGGAATGCTCCTACCTAATCTCTGTCTGCTACATTCATATTGTGCCATCACCTAACACAGATTTACAGCTTTATTTATAAATACTTTGGTTTGAAGAATTTATGAACATGTTCTTCAAACATGCTGTTTATGTAAACATTTACTGATGGAATTCAGTAACTGCCCATTGGCTTCTATTTTTAGCGAGTTTTGAGTCAAGAGGTTTTCTGTATTTTTCTAAATACAGGGAAATATGTTGAACTTGTCTGGTAATTGACTGTATGTTATAAATGCAGCAAATGGAGATTAGGTTGAAAAACACAGGAGTATGTTTTTTAAGCCACATCAGTCAGTCGAGTTGCTATGTGTTGCAACTTGCTGCAGTAGATAAATCTTTCTGCCTTTTTCTGCAGGTTTGCTTAGCGACTGGTACCCAAACCTGGATGCACTGAAAGAAAGCTGTCGCATTGCCAGCAGCTACAACTGGGCCGATGTAGACCTCTCACCTTTTCAAGGTACTGTTAATCCCCCAAATTTATTCACATAATATTTCAATCTCAAAGCGGTGGCTTTGAGCATTGAAGCATTAAAGCATTAGGTTTTAGCAGGTCTTTAGTTAGACACTAGGCTAATGTAGATAACAAGTAATGGAACCTCTGGTACTTTTATGGACAAAACAGTTATCATACAGTGTCAGAAACCACATAGACAGGTCTGTTTAAGATTACTTAACAACTCAACATAGTTTGAGGCAAGTGTGACTATTTAGTCATGCAGTTAGCACAGTGCTAATTGGTGGGATTTAAGATTCCGTTTCTTGGTTCCGTTACATGTTTGGGGTAAGGAGGGATTTTGTGTCAATTTTATAATTGGCCGAACTATCACTTTAAGCAACACTCAGTTAGGGCTGGGTGGTATAATATACACACGTGCATGTATGTGTTTAAAATAGTGATTATATTTAATTATCTAGGTGCTTCAGATTGTTTTGAAAGAACAGTTTAAAATCTAAGTTTAATTCCTGGAAATTTGCTTTCTGTCAGATTAATTTCCACAACACTGTTCAAGGCATGCTTTGGTGTATCATCTGATAAATATCATCTGATACTCTGATACATGATGCTTTCATCCTGCAGCTGCTCTCTTAGAAGTGCTTCTCAAAAATAAGAGTAATAATCTGGAATTAGGTGGTCTTCTACAAGTTATCAGAAAATCAAAACATTTTTAAAATCTTAAAATCTTTCAGCTTCAGCCCAACCCATTTAATCCAGAGGTTCCACCAGAATAAGACAATTGTGGTCACATTCTCTAAACCTCAGAAAGCAGTTTTTGTAGAGGTAACACAAGTAAATGGAGCAGTGTAAAATGTGTAGACAGGCTGAGAATATTAATTTGCTATACATATGAAATGCAGGTGGCCTTTTTTTTATTTGGACCAGTGTATGATTACTATAAGATCATTGCGTGCTTATCATTGTGGTCAGAAATTAATGAATTGATGAATACATTGTAAAAGGCTAAGGTGACCGATGTTTAACTAACACGCTTTTTAAATGCTTTTTCTTTCCTTGTGTAACTGAGCCATCGCCAATCAGTAGTCGGTTTGAAGGAGCTTTTTGATTTAAAAAAAAAAGCATTGCCTTTTTAAAAATTTAATTACTCCACACTGATGTGCTCAGTGGGTCACAGAGTTTATCCAATTATGTGCTAAAATTGCAAGGTAGGGTTTAATTAGATATCACAGGGAAAGGTTACTTATGAAATTAAATCATTTCAACAAGGATAAAAGACGTGTTCAGTCGCCTCATGGCATTTCATGTTCCTTCTACATGTGGAACTTTAATCCTGCAAGTTGTTTTCAAGTCTTGTATAATGGAAATTAAAATGACAGAATCAGGTTTGATTTACTGTAATGCAAGGCTTGAAAAGATTACTCCACCATCACTAGTTGGTATGTTGATGGGGTGGACAATGTGACAGTTTCATCTATACTGGGAAAAATTGCTATATACATTCCTGATCATATTGCAGGACTTCTTACTAAATGCAATAACATTTTGTTCAATCAGCTTGACACTTGGAATGTTTTGCTCATGCTTTGAGTATTTACGAAGATGACTCAATAAAATATGGCCCACGACAGCCAATTAGATTTCTGTAGGCACGTTTTTAAAATGAAAATCAAGTATACTTTTTACTGTTTTTCACTTAGGAACATAAAGATATAAATATGATATAAAATTGAAGAGTTTCTTTCCAAATGCTGTGTGTACTTGTGTAACAATTTTGGATATAACAAGTTTTTGAAAAGAATACCAGTGGCTGTATAATGGAAGACCCAAGTTTCTCTCACTAATAAAGGTGGTGTTAATCATAATGTCATTGATATTTCTATGTATAAAGCTCTCTCCCAACAATATATATCAGCAAAAAAAAATTCTTGAGAGGAGTCTATAGTATAGCCCTTCAATTTTGCAGTGACAAAAAATCTACTTTATCAATAGAGATATTTTGCTAAATTGCACAGGCTATCAGCTATTTTGATTCAATACTATTTTTCCCTAAACTGAGAAGGGATGTGCTTAGTCCTGATGTCATAAACTAAAATGCTCAATTGGTCATGTTTACACAGTCTGCAAAAAGGAAAGTCATAACAGTAATTGCTAAGTGGGGCTTACTTGCAAAACAATGCTTGGAGCCCACAGATTGCTGCTTGCTTCTATATTTTATTTCATTTTTATGTTTGAAATTAGCCTTGTTTTGGCCTAAAGGTTAGTGTGTACTATATTAAATATTGCCACCTTCAGATTGATGCTTCAGTTTTTTTTTTCCTCTGTAGGTTTGAGAGAGAGTATGCGGCAGGCAGAGCTGAATAACTGGTCTTTAGAGCCAACCCAAATTGCAGACCTCTGCTCCTCCATCAACCAGTTCTTTGCCCGCACTGGAGTCATCCAGCCACAGGGGGCAGTGCAGTCGCCTGTTTGTCATGGCTCCATGCACTCCAACAAACCCAGCCAGCACATTAATACAGGTGATCACAGATTTAGTGACTTCACATGTGCTAGGACCAGAACATGATTGTTCGGCAAAAAAATTACACAATTTTCCCCCCTACCCCAAATGTAGTTGATGAGCCAAAACATCTTTGGTTTGCTTCTTTAGTTTTGCACTGGAGCTAAGAGGCTAATGTAATCAACAAGTAATGAAAGCCTAAACCCCACCACTTAGCATTGTGTAATGCTGTCTAAATGATCACACACCTCCCTGAAACTGCGGCAGGTTAAGTAACCTCAAGTAGACTTGCTTATGTGGTTTATTTATTTTTATAGATAACATCATACATACAGTATCAGAAACCATATATGTAAGTCTGATTCAGGCATGCAGTGACTTGTAAATGAAGTACAAACATAAAGAAGTAAACTTTGGACACCACATAGGGCAACTTTTGGGGGTAATGGGAAAATTGTTTTGAATTTGATTTTGACTGAGGCTACAATCTGTGTCTGATAAACTGTTTGCTATATGAACAAAAATATATGTGGACACCTGACCTTCACATCTATACAAGATTTTGAGTTTTTTAAAGTTTGTTGGAATTTGTGCCCATTCAGTCAAAAGAGCATTTCTGAGGTCATGCACTGATGTTGAACAAAAAGGCCTGGCTTACAGTCAACATTCCAGTTCATCCCACAGGTGTTTAGTGGGGTTAAGGTCAGGGCTCTGTGCAGGTCGCTGGAATTTCTCCACACCACACTCATCAAAACATGTCTTTATGGGCCTTGCTTTGTGCACAGGGCAGACATGCTGGAACGGAAAAGGGCCTTCCCCAAATTGTTGCCACAAAGTTGGAAACGTAATTGTATAAAATGTTTTTTGTATGCTGTTGCATTAACGTTACCCTTCACAGGAACTAAGGGACCTTTAAGGGAGATCTAGCAGGGCAGAAATTTTCTGAACTGACTTGTAGCAGAGGTGATATGTTATTACAATGCAACGTTTAAAATCTCAGCTCTTCAGTAGGACACACTCTGCTGCCAGTGTTTGTCTGTGGAGATTGCGTACCTGTGTGCTCGATTTGAATGACCTGAATGAAATAATTAGAAAGGGTATCCACATACTTTTGGCCATATAGTGTACTTTTATCTCTCCTTCAACATCAAGTCAATGACATTTCTATTGCTATGTTTCAGGAAATATGTATATGGACACAAGACAGAGCATGTCCTCCATGATGGGTCCTCCAGGATACCCACATATGCCTCCAATGAGCAGCGCAGGCAACACCATGACAGGTTACCTTCCACCCTTCTATCATTTACTCTTAAAGAATTCCACAGATTTTTAAAAATGTTGGTATATTTCAATTGTTGAGATTTTTACAGAGTAATTCAGAGTAGTTTAATGAAAAGTGGTGCACTGTAGAAAAATTACCAGTGGTGGTGATAGGAACCAGGGGTCATGATGTTTACTACGGCAATTATAGCCATTTATTTACTATCAATACCACCAGTAACCCTACACATCTTCTGAGTTTTATAATGTGATAATGGTAAAATAGTGGTAAATATGGGACTCCCGAGTGGCGCAACCGCCTAAGCGTTGGCCCTATCATCAGGAGATCGCGTGTTCGATCCCTGGTGATGCTACAGCCATCCGTAGCCGGGAGTCCAAGAGAGCACAATTGGTCTCGCTCTCTCTGGGTGGGTGGGATGCCTGCCTTTCTCCCCCCATCACTCACTAAGCACGATGCTAGTCAGCGCAGGCGTCTGTTAGCTGACGTAACAGATCTGGCGGTTGGCGCTTTCCTCCGAACGCGTTCAGCTGTCCATAGACGTTGCGTGAGCGGCAGATGCGGTGGCTGGTTTCACAGGTCTTGGAGGAAGCCTGTGTTAGCCCCGCCCTCCTAGCATTGATAGCGTCGGGTGTGATTGGGGGAGACCTAACTAGCGGGTGGAATTGGCAAAGACTAAATTGGGGAGAAAACCGGGTAAAAAAAAAAAAAATAGTGGTAAATATAAAAAAAATCTCAAAAAATAATGTTTCTGGCATCACACAGTGTATTTGTTATCATTTATGTAATAGTTTTCTGGCATGTTACATCAAACCACTCTGAATGACTGTGTTTACATCTTAATGATCTGAATTATGCAGAAGTTCTTAAAAAATGGTTGCAATCACTGGTTACTGATAGGATATAGGATATTAAATATAAACATTGCAATGCATGTTATAGCCTGTGAACTGGATTACTTCAAGGTCAGTTCAAATTAAACAATCGTAACCATATACATAAATCATACATATGGATTTATGTGTTGACTATTGCTCTACCATGGTTTTACTAGGAAAATAATGTAATATGTTAGAAACGTCTGTATTATTGCATTTGGAACGTCTTATGCATCCAATAGATTAATGCATAACCTGAGTAGAACTGGGGAAAACGTTTTTGATTTCAGTGTTTATACCAAGGGTAGCATCACAGTCCTTGTTACCAAAATGATAGAAACAAAAACAAAAAATAATAGAAACAGCTGTCATCATGTAAACTCAGTGTTTATTGAATTTAAAACAGAAACATTTTTGAATTGTTACAGAATAATCAACATCTCTGATTTTTGAAGTTTGAATGAGTTCAGAGGGCATATTCAGATATGCTAATTTGACTCGCCTATAGACTGAATGCAGCCTCAGTGTAGTGGTAGCCTACTGGCCCGGATCATTTGAATACTCTGGGTTTTCGTTATGTTGGTATTCTTTTCGTTTTTGGTATTTGGAACTTCATTTTCTGTTGGCGTTTTAGGCCCCACCAGAATTCTGAAATACTCTAGGTTTCCTGTAAGTTTTTATAGCTAAAGGCTTGTTTATCACAATGAGATGGAGACATAGCAGGTTAGCTAATCAGTTTAACTGATTGCTGTTAGATATGAACGGCTGTAAATCTGTATGAATTTGGTATAAAACATTATAAAACATTAAAATATGTCAAAATTGTCAAGATTTATGTTCACCTATCCAAGTTATTTCACTCATGGTGGAGTTTGAACTTGAGATGGATAAATGTGAAAAGCTAATTTTTACAAATCAGAGACGGGAATATTCTGATTAAAAACCAAACTATAAAACAAAGGAGTGAACATACTTAAAGTTAGGTTGATTAATAATTAATTAAATGTAAATATTGCTTTAAAAGGGTGGCATTGAGAACGAGTATTCAAAGCCTGTAAAATGCTTGTTTACCTGTTGTAGTTTTGGGAATCACTGAACTTTCATTCAATTGTACAGCACTACAGTAGATATGATGTTGATCTCTACATGAAGGACCACTTTTTCTGTTTGTGGACATTGAGGCTCACATGTTTCTATATATCTCTATCCTTAGGCCATCATGCGCAGATGAACCAGCAGCACATGATGCCTACTGGAAACTTCCAAATGCGGCGCATGCCCACCGATGACATCCAGGATGACTTCGACTGGGACTCCATCGTCTAGCATCTGTCCCAGAGGAGAAGAGCGGTGTAGGAAAACGAGAGACGCATGGAGGATGAGAAGAGTGTGTATGTGCGAGAGGGAGAGAGAGAGGGCTAGACCCACGCTGTCTGCACGCCCCAAGGCAGGAGGCAGATTGAAACAGTGCGCTTAAAAAAAAAAGTGCAGGTGTCGTTTTTAATGAGCTGAAAGAGACTCCTGTTGTCATGGTGTTTTTAGGAAATGAAACAAAAAAGAAACAAAAAAATTTTACTTTGAAGACAATCACATTTACTAGGACATGTTTAAGTGATTGCTTTTGTACTTGTCTGAGGGACAAGTACGCTCATGTTCATGTTAAATGTAAAACCCCTCCCGTTTCTCTGTGGCAAACCCCCTTTTCTGTGTCCTAACCAACTGCCTTTCTGCAAATCTGCTATTAGGCCAAGCTCTTCCCTGTCCTTAACTGTTGTGTGATTTATTTTTATTTGACCTTATTTTATTTTTATTTTATTTTATTTTTTCAGAGTGATATGTTTTGGCTTGTTCTCTCTCCTCTTGGCTCTCATTCGTCATGTGATTGTTCCCTCTGAAAATGCAGGCCACTTTTCAGACAGGAGGCAAGCTTTTCAGGTAATGTCACTCAGTGAGACATAATTATGTGACACAGTCATGTGACACTGCCCGGGTCACTCCCTCTGCTGGCTCTGTATATCTCTGTGAATTCTGGTGCTCCACACATCACCTGAGCCTTTACTCTGTAAAGGGCTGCTTTCCTGGACGTGGATTAAGCCTAGTCTTGGACTAAATTGCAACGCCAGTGTTGTTAAAAATCATAAAAAATCATATTTAGCCTTGGCTTAGGCTTAGTCGAGGTCTTTGAAACCAGCCAAAGGTGTACAAGTCCTCAAGCACCTGAATCGGATCTCTGTGCTAGCAAACGTTTAATCCGTTAATCGTTTTAATGATGAGTGTGGCTCATAAAACATTTGTAAATTTAACCACATTACCTGCAGTATTTGTACTTACTTGTATATCTTTGCTGTCTACAATGTATCATACTCCGTGTCTCTAACGTTTTTTAAAACAGTTTGAAACGGTGCATCGAGAAGTGACATTGATTCAGCTCTCACCTTTTTTTTTTTTTAGTAATCACTTACTCATTTTTGTTTCACCGTCCACTCTCCATGTGTCTGCATGTGCAGTCTTCATTTGGTTTTCTACAATCTTCCATTGCAGTCTCACCGTCTCCTGCTAGCACTGTGCTACTCTATCTAGCCTTTTTTTTAAAGCCTGGCTACTCAAGCTGGCCTACTCGGGGTTTTATGCTTTGTTTAGAAGCAATGGCTGTTCAAAAGGGTGATGAGAGAGATATTTAAGAAAGCCCAGTTTTACATGCATTGGGGGGAGGGTTTGGAAGGCAAGGGCCTGCTGAGAAGCTCTGCGCAGTCAAGTTTGAGGAAAGGATGGAAGAGTCGCATCAAGGCACATTTGCTTAATGGACCGTGCTATAAGAGTTGTCTATATTTTATATCCTTGGACCAGCCGACATGAAACTTCTAGCTGTTTCAGTCCTCTGACAAGGACTATGTGCACAGAGGATGCACCCAGTGCTTGTGGAGCGAGAGGATTGGGAGGTACGCTGTACTGTAGAGGAAAGAGGACAGTAACATTAAGATAGCATTGCTTTAAAAATTTAAATTGGGGTGGCATTGCTTTAAACATTTACAGTTGCATCTTAATCGCCACATGTGAGAGAACTTTTGGTTATCCTCACAAACAAGTGATGCTTTTGTTGCAGTTCACGATATACCAGTGAATTGGGAGTTTAGCAGTAGCTAGTAATTTTGGGAGTTGGTTGCTAGCGAGCCGGCTAATTCACCAACTAAACATTAAATTCACGAAGTATAGTAATACCATCAAATCCAGCTTCCTGACTGACTGCAACAATGCCGCTTTTGTTGTGTATTCGCTTACGGTTTGGTTGAGAACAACTAATTAAAATTAGTGTTTCCTTCATCTTGAATCTTCAGTGCTGCTTTATGAAGCCCCGTCCCTTTGGAGGTCAACGCAGCTGAAGCATGTTATTGGTCGATGATGCAAATACCTGTGTCAAGCTAGGTTTCATATGCAAATTGATGCGAAACGCTAGTGTGACTGGGCTTTAAGAGCAAAAACATTAAAGAGACCTAGTCCCAAGCCAAATTGTTTCAGTGTAGGTTAACTGTTGTGGTATGTGCTTGTGCAATATTATTAATTTAGGGTTATTGGTTATGTTCACAATCATTTCTACCAATAAGCACAAAGCTAATGGAGGTAGATCTAGTTTAGACTAAACTAATCCCATTTTGGAGGTACAGGCATATTTTAGGGTATGTCATGGAGAAAGGTGGTTAGTGCACTTTGCTAGCATGTGGTGAATGCGATGAGTTTTAGAAGACTTTTCATAGAATTGACAAGCCATAGATTTTGGACTCTGATGTTGGTCCTTGCCCAAGGGGACTTTGTTGCTTTATTAATCTCCTCATTAATGGAAGTGTAATTGCACATTATTATGTCTTATCATGAGTTATCATGACTATGGCCTATTGACAATCATGTTTTTGTATTTCAGTATTATAGAATCTACAGACTGAGTATTTGAAACTTAAACTCCACTTCTATTGGGCCGTCTTCCTTTAGGCCCATGATGTAATGGATTACATCATCAGTAATGGATCTGTTTGAAAGAAATAGTTCTCCTACAAATAGTTTTTTGTAAGGTTTTGATGGATTAGGAGTTAGAACCTGTCACAAATACCAATTTTAACAACCTAAAAATTCAGACTCATGAAATCAGCCAATATCATTTATATGGTCAAAATGAAACAGGCCCCAACAGTGCTCTACTGACTGATCATTGACAGTTTTCAGTAATATTTCAGTCAAAGATAATCCTTAAAAGTTCTCAGAACTCAACTGGCATGGCTGTCTTAGGTTTCAACCTTTCATTAAGAAAATGGGAGTTTGAATCTCGACGATGCCCAGAGTCTAAGAGAGAGACATAATTAGCTCTTCTTAATAGGATGCATAATTAATCATATTTAATTGGTAAGCAGTACCTGAAACATTGAATAAAAACAAATAAAATCATTGTACTCGCTTTTAAAAAGTAATGTTTAAATGTGGCACCACTGCAGCATTTTGTCTGTTGAACCTGATCAAACCTCAGCTAAACAAAATATGATGCCTATTTCTCAAAGTTTTGTGATGTTATTCTTACCATCTTGCCCACCCCTTGCCTCCATGGATAAGAAGTTGCCTCACTGGCTTCAGCTGTCAGAAATGTAAACTGTTTAGCCTCATACGTATTGAATTACGTATTTAATTAGCACCAAACTCGTTCTGTTCAGTGTAATGGGTTATTGATAGTGATAGTTTTGGGAAGGACTTGCGTATGCCATTGTTTTTATTTGAATTACTTTTTTACAGGACAAATTCTAGTCATGCTTTTTATGATATGACCCTAATTAAAAGCTCATCTTTAAGCAAGTGTTTACTCCTTTTTTTCCCCTCTGTATTTCATGATTGACAGGTCAGAGACTACCCATTTGTTCAGTGTGCCGTGTTGCGTCAGTTGTCTGTTTGATAAGATACCTGTATCCATAATCATTTTTCTTTTCTCAGCACATCTTGCCTTTTTGTTACAGATTGTGTTTGTAACCCACTTTGACCCATAAAGCCTCTTCTAGAAAGTGCTTTAAGCTGCTTGCTTGTCATTTGTGCACTTTGAAAAGAAGCTGAAGCACAACTGCAGATAATGTGCGTCAGGATATGCTGTAAATGAACATGCCTGGCGTTAACCTTTGCCCTCAGAACATGTTCAGTTGACACCACATTGGGGAATATGTCCCATATGCTGCCCATAAAAGGACTGTTTTCTTTAAGTTGGAAATACGCTATAGGTACTGTGAACCTATGTATGAAAATGAAAAATAAATATAAATATATAATGGAGGCTTCGAGATTAATTTTAAAGGCAGCAGGCAAAAGGTTTTGTAAGTGAAGAGACAAGCAAGTTTGATTAACCAGGCTGAGGGAGTGTGTGAATACAGCTAATGTATTAGTTCTCATAAAAAAATAATGAAAAAGAAGAAAAAAAAAAACTAATGGGGTTGCTCCATCATTTGTGTGAGTGTCGTGTGAAAGTTGTGATTGTTTAGAGACAATTCCATTTTAGTAAACGAGTGGAGATGCACCTGCCAGAGAGATTACTATTAAAGGGGCCTGAGTGAGAAGCCTTGTTACATTTAAGGGAGAAAACTGCCAACAAGTTCTGGTATTTGAGGCCTATTTTATTCATTGTTGGTGTGGTGTTGTGCTTATTGTAAATATATGTCTTTTCAATTGTCCTTTTTTCCTCTGGGGTGGTGGGGGGATCAAGGCAAGGGCTTTGGGTTCACCTATGAAAGAAGAGGGAGAAGCATACAGAGTATTTTGTTATTGTCCAATCCAAGGGTGATACAGTATGTATATATCTATATTGTATATATGTGATGAAAATGCGTTGGCTTTTTGTGTGACACTACCTTCTACCTGTACTATGGTTCAACATTAAATGTGTTAATGTTTATATTATATTTTAATCTTTATTTTCTGTTTGCTTTGTCTGTGTCGTTTCTTGTATTTGCTGTTTTGTTTATTTTCCTTTTTTTTCTTTTTGTTTTCTTTGTTTGTTTTTTGGTTATTGCACGGTTTATTACTTTTGCTGTCCAACAAAATGACACAGCTACTCTTTGTATCGGTTTAGTGCTGTAACATAACTCTGAAGTGTCATTAGGATCGTCAATACCACCCCCCCACCCCCCTCATATGCATGAATGGCACTTAAAGAAATAAACTATGTTAACTTCACTGTGGAATTGTTTGTTGTTTGCGAGATTAATTTATATCTTCACTACAAGGCCAAAAGTTTGTGGATACCTCTTCTCATCAGAGGCTTTGGTTGTTTTGAGCCACACCCATTGCTAACAGATGTATAACATCAAGCATTCAGCCATGCAGTGTTTGTTCTACAAACATTAGCATTAGTCATACTGAAAAGCTCATTGACATTCAATGTGGCCTTGTCATAGGATGCTAACAAGTCAGTTCATTAATTTTCATTGTTATTTCAGTAATTAGAGCTGCCCTGGTCAACTGTAAGTGCTGTTGTTGTGAAGCAGAAGCAGTAAAAAAATGTAAAAAAAAAAAACAAAAGCAGTAGGCCACATAGGCTTACAGAACTGGACTGCCAAGAGCTGGAGTTCAGTGAGTACTGCCTTCGTTTCTGCTCAGTTATGACATTCACTGCTGAGTCCCAAACTTCCTGTCAACACATTAGCACAAGAACAGATCGTCAGGAGCTTCATGGAATGGGTTTCCATGGAGACCAGCGACACCCAAGTCTAAGATCACCATGCACAATGCGAGGCGTCCGTGGAAACGTGTTCTCCAACACCTGTGAAATGGAAGTTTTTCTCCTTGGTAATGTCCATGGGTCTGTAATGAAATGTGCAACAAGCACATATGGACATGATGTATGGGTGTCCAGATGTTGATCTCGCTCCTTGCCAAGGCCAGTAAGGGGGGAAAAAAACTTGTTTATTCAAAAGGCTTATACTTTATTCCCACACTACTGTACGACATCAGTCAAAATGACTTCCAGAGAGATTCTTATTAACTGGGGCAAAAATAAACACACACACAGATATGTTCTGCAGCTAAAATAACTCACGGTGGGTGGCCTGTACAGCTTGTTTCGGTCAGCAATTACAAAAAACAACAGACAAACTGTCACACTTTCAATTCAGAGTCTACATATGTTCCTCTGTTGAGGAGCTACCATTTCCTCCAGTTTCATACCTTTTGAAAATGTATCCCTGGGAGTTCAATACCACACCTCCCAGTCCTGTTAGTGTGAGAGCAGTGTAAGACCTCCCTCTTTGGCAAAGGTACTGGGGCAAATAAGTGTGCAATTGGCAGTGAAAATCCATACTGGACTTCAAAGTCCCTGGAAGGCTGTGGACACCAATAATGAAAGTTCACCTATTGCTCGTCCTTGCCTTTTCTGTTCCTTTCAATGCGGCTGCTCCAACAGGTAAGTAGTTTTCTCTAATGGTAAGTTAGCATTGAGCACACTGCAATCAAAGAACAGAAAGCTTCCTGAGATTTTTCATTTAGGACTTTTGCTTTTGTTCCTCACTTTGAGGTGAATCCCAGCTCTTTAGTACATTGTCAGTTTCATGTGAGAATCTTTGTACAGAAGCTTGACAATCAATGATTTCAGAACAGAAATAATAAATCATTTTGCGCTTCAAGACAAAGTATCTTTTGGATAGTTGTCTAAAGGAGTATTATTGAGACACTGCAAAAAGATATGCCTTAAATCTTAATCTCTTGACAAGTGATTTAGTGCAAGTGTCTCTAATACAGAAAATCAGGAAAGGGCCATATGCTTTCCATCCATACTACACTGTATTGTTGCATTTACAGGGGTTGTCCGTATCATGTAATACTGTTACATTTGATAAGGCTAACCTATAGCTTATGGCCTGCTGAAAGATTTCTCTTCTTTCAGTATGTGGCTGTAGTATGAAGAGTGTCTTTTCAACAGATCAGCAAATATTTAGTGTTTAACAGTAGAGTGGCTGGTTCTTCATACCTGTCGGATCATTTGTTGGACTGGACAGTGTTTTCTAAAGTAACTTGATGCACTGTTATGTAGAGTTGAACACATTTCTGGCAGGGTATCATAATTCTCCTCAAAAGTTAAATATAACCTTAACCTTCACGAGATGGCTTTTCAACAGCATACTCCACTTACTACTCCTTACTAGCCTCTCCTCTCATGTTTCCTTTCTGCATTTTTGAAGCTTCATGTATTGTCATTTGGGTGACCTTTATTTATCCAGCCTAAATTTAAAATAATTAAAAATATGTTCAATTTCACGTCTCCGTTATTTTAGATATTTTACTTGGACCACATTTTAGTGAGCCTCAAGAGGATGTGGCAAAGACATCCATTGAAGTTATAAACCCCGGTGAAGAATCTGTGGTAGCAGCCCAAGTACATCCACTTCAGACTGCCCCTGTGGAATTTGCCTCAGAAGAACTTGTTTCTGAAACTGCTGCTGAAATTGCTCCAGAGAAACCTGTCACAGTTTCCCCTGTTGATACGGAGAACTCTCCATTCCCTGAAGAAGCTATCCCGCAAGAGATATCTCCAGCTGTTATAGAGGCATCTCAAAAGGGACCTGTTATTGATGCTCATGCAGACCTTGACCTTGAGGAACCAGCATCAGAAGCTCTACTTGAAGTTGCCATAGAAGAACCAGTACTTATTGGCCCAAAGGATGTTGCCTCTGTAGAGAGTCACACTACAGGACCAGAAGCTTCTATTGAAACTGCCCCAGAGAATATGTTTCTTGTTGCTGTGGAGGCAACTCAAGAAGGATCGCTTGAGACTGCTCAAATAGAACCGGACCTTGGGGAATCCATATCAGAACCTGTACCTGAAGTTGCTCAAGTAGAACTAGTAGATATTGCCCCAGTGGAGGATCATATCAAAGTTGCCACAGAAGATCCTGCCCTCATCAGGGAAGATGTCCTAATGTACTCTGTACCTGTTGTTCCAGCTAAGTCTGCTTCAGAGATACAAGCACTTGCAGATTTAGCACCAGAGGAACTAGCATCCATTGCACCAGATAAAGATACCCCTGAAGAACCAGCACTTGCCATGGAGTCCATGGTCCTGGTAATTGCAGCAGCAGAAGAACCTGCCCATAATACAGCAGAAGTGACTGCAGAAGAAGAACCAGAATCTGTTTCTGTAATTGCAAAGTTTATCCCAAAGGATACAGGGATACATCTCACTGAAAGAACCACTCCTAGTGCACCTGTTGAAACTGCAGAGGAGGAACTTGGGATAGAGGAAAGTGCTCTTATTGCCCCAGTTGAAACTTCTGACGAGGAAGTTGTTTCCGAGGAAATTGTCTCTGTTGCACAACAAGCACCTCTTGACGAAACTATTGTTGAGGAAGCTGAAACTGAAGTAGACTTTTCTGTTGGTTCTGTTGAAATGGCTGAAAAGGAAACAAACCCAGAGGAAACAGTCCTTCTTGTGTCTACAGAAAACAGACTGGAAAATTCCACAGAGGCATCACTTTCTCTAAAGGAGTCTGAGGGTGAAGAATCTCCTGTTGCTTTCACTGAGGTTCCTGAGGACCTTTTTGTGCCAACAGAGACACCCTCAGCTGAACCAGTCATCATGCCTGTGCCAAACTGTAAGTGTCCTGAAATACAGTGTCCACTGAGGTCTGATGAGGTGGTTATTCAAGTGGCTGAGGAACCTGATGATAATGAGAGTGACGGTGATGACCTAGAAGTCACATCACTGGCCACAGATTTTGGAGATGTCACATCACTTTGCAATGGACATGGGAGCCACAGTCACCATACTGAAGGAGCAACCTTCTGGTAATATTTAGAATGGTGTTTGAAAGTTATTTCATTGTGTTGCTTCTTCATAATGTTATCTGGTCGGCACAGGAATAAGGTACTAATTTGATGGCATCATCCTTTTTTAGAGTTGTCATAGTTTTCATTCATAGTTTTGCCTGGTAGGAATTAGAACAGGAATCACCAATATTATTCACAAAAGGACGATGTGGCCACATATTACTATTCAACTGAAGGCTGAGAACAACAATGATTCTAATGATTCTCCATGATTTAAATGAAAACCAGCAGCCAAACCAGACCTTTATAGATTCCTGACCCCTGAATTAGAACACTGATTTTGAAAAAATGATTTTTTTTGTATTGCAGGGGGTGTAAGCAGAGGACTACTGTTGGGCACAGCTTTCTTCTCAGTTCTGGCACTTATAGCATTGGGCTCTGCATCAAGGAAAATACACTAATACTGGTGAGCATTTCCAACTATTTTGAGTATTGTTACTCCTTTATCCCTATCATTTACCATCCTTTCTTATTCAGTCCCATATTGTGTTTACTAACTAATGCAAAGCATCTAATATGTAATAATGCAGTTATATTCAAATTTATGGATTTAGTTATAGTTATACAGATGAACACAGGCAGCATGCAAACTACTTCATTGCATCCTGAATAGCAAACTTCAGCTCACCATAAATTACATTCTTGATCCTTCTTTTTCTTAGAACCTGCTAAGTGGTGGAAACAAGATATCTCTTGTTGTGCAGACACTGTTTTTATTGAGTAGATGAAAGATGGAGACATGAAATTACATCAAATGGGATATTCTGCCCCCAGCACTTTGGACTGCTGAAAGAAGGTGAAATCCCTAAATACCCCACCCCAAGGATGGATGCCTGTAAATTTATAATTTAACTAGGGATAAAAATTAATAAATGCAAAGTTGTGGAAAGTTGTGCTGATGTAGTATTTTACTCATGTGGAAATGATGGACAGATTAAGTTTTATATACAGGGAAACATGTCATCACTTTTTATGTAATTTTTTTTATACAGTAGCGCTATTTTATGTAAATCTTTCCGTAGCAGCATGCCAGCGTCCCCAGTAAAATCTTTGGGTCTAACCTGGCCAGCCCCTAAAAGTTTTAGCTACACCCCTTAGTTAGTGTCCATCAACATTTCACAGACGGCCCTCTTAGCTATTCATCTCTCTCTAATTCATAAAGCATCTCATTCATTATAACCATTTTCATGCTGATCTTTCACAATATTAAACATGATATTTTCATAATCTCTATATCACTCTAAAGTCTTAAATAGGTAGTCTAGCTTTAACATTTAGCTTAATATTTATTGCTAGTAGGTGGAGTGGGATGCCTTGAGAACATCAGCTTGTTTGAGACATCACAATAGTGAGTAAACAAGCA